AATCGTATAAAACTTCATTATTCTACAACACTTAAATTTATGTTAAATCTTTAAAGAAAAAAAAATGAGGCAAGATGAAAGAAAGTCAATCAATTATTTGAAAAGCATTGTTTATGAAATGCTTAATTTGTGTAAAAAGTATTTTGAAGGAAAATGTCTGTTATCAGCATAAATTAGTGAATAACAGTTTACGATATATTGCTGATTTTCTCAATCGTTGTAAACTTCCCCCAGAAATTTATTGATCTGACTTGAGTTTTAGTAGCAAGTTTATCACTGAAAATGTGTTTTCTAGGCCGAATTCCCTCAAGTATCCTTTGTTATTACGTTTCTACATCATAAAATACTCAATATTACTTCAATTTTATTCACTTATATCTAATCATTGACTAATACATTTCCCAATTAAGTGCAAAGTATCCCAATACACATTCAGTAGGAATAAATAATGTGCCCGTGTCTTTGTTATTTTTCCTCTTGAGTTATTTGATCGCAATGTTTTTAGTTAAAGCTTTACATTGTTCAATGAATCATCAGAATTGTGTCTTTCTTTGACCAATATAAAACCAATTGTATCAAGGAAAGATAAAAAGATAAAATCGTTTGTTTTCTTCAATAAAGTCAATCCTTGCAAACTTTCTCCTGTTTTATAATAGAGATTCAGTTTAACATAAATAAACTCTAATATTCCTCAGTTACATTTTAATAACACATACAATCTTGGCTATCATCATTCATTTAATAATAGATCAAATGAAAAGGCTGTTCAAAGATCACATCTAGAAATTTCACTTTTTATATGTTAGTTTTCATTATATTGTCCTGGGGAAAGATCAAATAAATAAAATATAATACTATTCTTCTTACAAAAGCAACTATTCACTATACATTTTCATCTACTCATTGTGTCCTATAACTAATATGACATATTATAAATTAAAAAATGAATATACAATGACCACAAAATAAATTAGTTGTAGTTTCGTTTAAATAGGTGTCTCCGTTTTGTTTCATTCATTGAGTGAATTTCTCTAATTTACATATTTATAAAATTAAAATGAAAAACAAAAATAATTTACTGATCAAATTTGAAGTTGGCGTTTATTCAAAAGAAAAAAAAGAGAAAAGCGAAAAGAGAAAAGAAACTGACATCAGTTAATCACCAAATGGTTACCGGTAATTTAGAAAATAAACCTTTTTTGTTGTTGTAAATGAGTGGGTATGTAAATCAAGTGTTTATACTTGTTTGTTACACATTTACAAATATGCTGTGTAGCTTACTGTATGTGGAAGAAATCTTATATCACTTATATATAATAAATATTGGAACATTTATATCCAGTTCCATCAATATAACTTATACTTTCGTTTGACAATTTAATTAAAAAGATTTGAACAACTCATAAATTCTCTTTTATGATATCAGTGTTTTCATATAAATTATAAAGATCCTGAAAGTAATTTTATTTTCATTTTATAATTAAAAGTCAAATAAACCATATTACTAAAGAATGTACCGTAGATAGTTTTTTGAAGTTAGCTTTAAGTTCAACTCTGTTACTTACACCTAATTTATGTTTATCTACAGTGCAACATTCATTTCTACCCTGCACATTTGTCAGAGAATACTGTTTTAACTGAACAAGTAGTCTTTGGGTGCTCACTTCATTATCTTCAACCACACAGCTTTATTTCTTAGGCCTTTATATGTGTCTTCAAGTAAATATGACCTAGCAGAAATAATTAATGTGGTATGAATACGTGTTTATAACTTTGAAGTCTATATAAATCTATGAATTTAACCTGACTGAATATAATCTTAATTGTAAGATAAATCTCCCAGATGCCTGTTATAAACTTCTTATTCAAGATTTCACTTTTCGACCATCCCCCTTCTGTGTGTACAAATTTAGAATGTAAACCTGTTTTTTATTCTAAATGAATATAAAAACAGGCTTTGATGTTACTTATGTATGGATTTATAAACCACTGTGTTTATATTTTAAGAACGAGTGCTTTGATCAGTTCCCTTATATCTACCTGAACGTTTTCAAAGAAGTACTTGTTTAGATTAGTTTATAGAAGAATGACAAAAAAATGCAAACGTTCACAGTTATAAATTTGTTTCTTTTTATGAATTGTGCATCTGGTAAAAATACAACTAAACTGTAAATGAACCGACTTTTTGAGCGATTTCCCCTTTTTATATTGTTCATTAACAACATTTCTTTTTGGGTTTTCTTTTGTGTATATAATTTAACCAGCTATAGTGAATCCTAAAAAGTACAATCTTCCCCAAAAAGAAATTATCTAAACATATAACTACAGGAAATAGCTCTTAGTAAACTTTCGTTGTCATTTTAATTTGTTAATTTCTCTGTGTTTCAAGATCATGCTGGTCACCGTTTATATACTTATTCCATTTTAATTTGTTTTTATTAAACATCAAGTTTCTTATGTACTACAACCTTCCATCCTTCTCATTTCCATCACTTTCAATTAATATTGCACTGTTGTCTGTCAAATACCATACAATCAAGTATATAACATAATCCATTTATATTAGAAATAATCTATATCGTTCCTAATTCATAATTACTGTAGTCCAAAATTAAATTCTATTACAATTATAACCATTTATCAGGATATAACATATAAATAATTCTATTAAACTTACTTAGTTATATGATTGATTTCTAAATGTTTATAAGTTTATTATTGTTTATCACGACAATAGACCATTTCATTTGATTACAAAATGATAAGTGTAATTTTATGAAAAAAATATTCATACATTTGATTGTAAATTTATCAGTGAACAATCAAAGAACACTTTAAATTCCAATAAATTTAATGTAATTTATTGAAATAGATTTTTTTAAATAATTTCAACTGAATTAAATAACCAGTATATGAGTTGTGGAGATTATTAAATTTTTGATTGAGATCATGAACCAATTGATGTTAGATCATCGTTGAAAACCTGGAAGCACTGGACGGTTGTTTCGTCCTATTGTGGGACTCCTCAGCAGTGAGCACCCACAGTCCCGCTCGCGGGATTCGAACTCAGGGCCTTCAGTTCAGTTTGTTTGTAAATGCATACTTAATTTCAATAGTTGAGATCATGAGTCAATTGAAGCTAGAACATCATATAAAATCTGGAAGCACTGGACGGCAGTTTCTTCCTATTGTGGGACTCCTCAGCAATGCGCATCCGCGGTCCCACTCCCCGAGATTTGAATCAAGGACACATCAGTCTCGTGCGTTAGCGCTTCACCACTAGACTATTGAGCCGGCACCCAACGATGGTAATGTTTAACTTCAACCAATCCACAAAATTGAGTGACACATCCACCATTGTCTTCAGTGAGTTACTATCTTACAACAGACCCGGTTTATTATTGCTGACTATAATGAATGTTTGGAATGGATAGATCAAATTAAACATGATAAGAAATAGTATGTTCAATTCTCCGTGATGTACAGACTAAATCAGAAAATCATCAAATCAGACAGCTATTCTGTTTTGAGATACTCTAACCACTATGAAGTTCCTAAAATGTTGAAAAGTTTATTTTCAATTCTTCATGTTTTCAAGTAGGTTTTTGTTTGTTTGTTTGTACATTCATTTCGTAATAATGTCTACTTTTATATCCATAAATATTTTAATCTTGTTCAAAAAAGTACTTGACATTCAGTGGTGAGAATGGGTGAACAAAAATTAATTACTTCATCAGACGTTATACTGTCATAGTAAGACAAATATAAAGATCTATGTACAAAATATTGATGCTTGCTATTAAGTTTATCAATTAACCAACCCTCACCCATTGATAACCCTTACTAATTTTACGCATTTCCTCTCTAATACGAAAACTATAAGTTGTGATACACATAACTATATTATAACTCAATCATGACAATGAAACCACTATTATTATAATGGATTTATTATGGCGTATTGTGGTGTATCCTACTTATCTGTCAACATAAGTAGTATGTAACACCAAACGTCAATGGAATAACTATCAGAAGAAGGTTAAGTATATCAAATTGAGGACAACAAGAATGTAAAGTGAATAATTGTAATCACTACAAGAATGGAGGAACGATGAACTTTGTAAAAGACAAGTGAAGTAAGATGTGAAAATAAAGTAGTTAATGCATGGTTTTCATATTTACATATTTGTATTTAACAATGGATCGGTTGTCTTCACCAAGTCTTCGTTCACTACATTATCCCGATATTTCACCTTGATTGCTATTTGAGAAGTGGTTCATATGTTTTTGTCGATCGATTTTAAGTTATACTATTTCTCACTGTATCAAAAGAGTTATTCTATAAATAACACTATGATCAACCAGTTGAATAACTAACATCTTCTAGGACTTAGAGGAAATCTATATAGACCAGTTTTAAATTAACCGAGACATTTTAAAATTCCTTTAACATACTATTTACTATATTTCTGCTTACTAGCTGACCCTTTGTAGCAAGTTTGTTTCCTACGAGATGAGGTTACATACCCCATGCCTAACTCTCCTCCTTTATCCAGGCTTATTATGACCTGTAGTAACTCAAGAAGGGCTACAAGCGGAGTTATTTTTCCTACTTAACAACAAAAATTGCTTTACATATCTAATAGTAATCTAGAACAATAAAATCAATTATCTACACAGTATTATATATATATATGTCAGTTTAACAGTTTAGGTATACCATTTCTTATTTTCTTATTCATTCTGCTAAAACACTCAACCAACCATAACTGTTTTTTATTTGATTATTCAACAGATGTTAGTGACATAAACTACAATGCATTTATTAAATATAGACAGAAAGTTTTCATCGCTATTAAAAATGTTTACGAATATATTTAGTTATATTCTAAATTTTATTCTCATTTTATTTCATCCAAAACGAGAAAAACACATGACAAGTTTGTATGAAACCATTAATGATATGCTTTTTCATTTCACCTCATGTTTAATTAAAATGATAAGTTCAATTTGATAATGCTCTATTTCTGGACATTATATTTAATCTAAGTTGATCGTAATAAAATAAAATATTGAAATAATATTAAGTAGTTAAAGTGTATTATACTGACCAATAGTGATAAACACTTTCAATATGGATTGTTTGATTTTACATTATGTGAAGTGTTTGTCAAGATTGAATTTCCTGCAAAAAAAACAGACAAAAACAAAATTGCACACTAGTTATTTTAATCAAGATTTCATGAAGTACATTAGGAAGAATGTTTTTTTTTCCATTCATAAGTGTTCCTTGAAACTAAAAACAGCATTGAAAAAAACATGTATAAAGAACAACATGGTTGAGTTTTCTATTAGTTAATACAAAATTTGGTGCAGTATCTTATGATAAACATTTGTCAACATTACTATAAACTGGTGTCTAAAATGACTTAAATTAATTCACATTTCGTTAAAAAGAATTACATAATGTAGTGGATGCTACTTACAGGATTGCTAATAATTTGTATGTTGCGAAACGTGTCCTCGAAATTGTTTGAAGGAGTAAAGAGTTTCAGAACAACAAAAGCACGACATCAACAGAACAATGAAAGACCAGATGAGAGCAGTATTCAAATTTCAAAATACACCAAAAAACACAAATGGACAATTAAAGGCTATTAACGTATATTTCATAAATACTTTGTAATCTCTCGATAAACTTACATTCCTTCTGTCTACTACATTTTTTAACAACAGAAGTTATGCGATTTCATTTACTTTTAAGACATGATCATCAGCACAAACTTCAATAATCTTATAAAAACTTTTACCTACTGAACAAATTGAATCGTCCAACAAACACAAATATTAATATCAGAAAAGGTTTGTGGAGATTTTAGAAATTTCACATATTGAAATCATGAGTCAATTGAAGCTAGATCACCATGGAAAACCTGGAATCACTGGACGGCTGGTTCGTTCTAGTATAGGACTCCTCAGCAGTGCGCATCCACGATCCCGCACCCCACGTGATTCGAACCCAGGACCTATCAGTTTCGCGCCAAGCGCTTAACCATCTAGACCACTGAGCCGGCACACAAATATTAATAGTTAACTTTTATTGGACGTACATACTGATAATATTGTTTAATAAAATAATATCAGCTTAATTAGTTAATCTATTTGTTCAAAGAATACATCATAACCAAATCATCATATATTTACCGTGTATCATTTCTCCTGTAATTATATATATATTGCTCATAGTAAATCATTTCCTTTTTGTTTTTGATTTCCGGAACGAAATAGCTTAATCAACGTTTAAATGATGTTAATTAATTTTTAATAGATTATCTGTTAATTAAATATTTCTTTTATTAAATACAATGATGTATATAAAGTTTATGATTCCATGAACATGAACTAAATAAATGATTATAGAAAAGTTAAATATTTTAATAATATAAATGCTCAATAATCAGTGTCCTTTAATTGATTTTATAAAATAGAAAAAGTTTTAAAAGTAAATAATTGATTTTATTTATGAAATCAGGTAGACTATAGCAATTATTTTATTGATTACGAAATCATACTGTGGTGCGTGCTACTTATATAGATATAAGTAGTATATGACGCGAGTTAAAACGTAATGTCTGGCAGCAGAAGATGAGTAGAAGACCAAGAAAAGAAGAGCGAGAACACAATGGAATTTGTAAGAAAACGCAGGAACAATGGAATGGGAGACAATGGATTGGTGTTTGCAACAGAAACAGTCCAGTTTGATAAGATGCATTAATATTTTGCAAATTGATGATTTACTATATGGTATTCAGATTTTATTGACATATTCTGTAATTTTTATGCTTAATACATTCGTTTGTCCCCACCCGTGTTCTTGTTCACTACAATACCAATTTAAATTTCAATATAAACCTTTTACTTTAAGTGCTACTCAATGTGCCGTCTCATAAAAGTACTCAAACCAAAACTTAATACATAAATTAATAATAATAAAATGCTTATATTGTATGTTGTTTAGGATTAATCATTTTGAATATGAGGAGGAAAATTAGAATACCTTAGTTTAAAGTAACAGAGTACAAAAATAATGATATTCAAAAGAACATTTTTAACTGTTTACAAAATTTATTTCTATTTGATGTGAATATATATTAATTACTTCAGAAAAAATAAACAACACTAACCTTTCCAATTTATTTAGTGATAGTGTGATATGTGCTAGTTCTGTCTATACATATAAGTAGTATGTATCATCAATCAAGTGAAATATCTAGCAGCAGAAGGTTAAGAAGATCAAAGAAAATAAAACGAGAACAATAAATGATTGGTATGGAAATAAAAGAACATTAAAATCTGAAATGATTGATTGACATTTTGTAAAGAAAATATTTATTATATAGTTTTCAGATTTTACTACGATGTCCTGTAATTTTGTATTCTAATACATTCGATTGTTTCCATTTGTATTCTTGTTCATTACAATAGAATAAGACATATAACATTAAACTTCCTTTAAATCAATGACAACTTCCATAACTATTAAACTATTTGCAAATATTTGGTAAATAAACGTAATTTACAAATTAATCTAATACATAGTCTAAATGGGTAATTATTATTATTCAGATAGGATTCTTCTTCTTATTGTTGTTGTTGTTTCCATTCATTGTACACTGTCAAAATAAACTTGAACAATGTATAAACATAAATGATACCTAAATAAATTTTATTTTTCATTAAAATGTATTGTTGCATAAACTGGAAATCATCTATTTAATGTTAGATCATTAATGAATTAGATCAGGCTACTATATATTTATTTTTATATAAATTCAACTATCATAAATAATTCATTCATGCACTAATTGAAAGTTTATTTTCTTCCAAATTTTAATTGAGATATTGATGTTTATGTTTATGTATGTCTGTGTGTGTGTGGTTCAAGTTTTAGCTTTCAAAACAAACAAACACACACAGAGAGAGAGAGGAGAAAAATCAACCAAGACTCCATACTGTTATAATTTATTTACTATTTTCGTGGTTACTGTGATTAAATCATTCGTTTATTATTATTTTTTCCTTTTCAATTTATTAAAATTAAATTTAACTATACCTTGAATTTCTTAAATAATTTACATTATTCATTGAAATAGTATGACATAATAAATGAGTTCAATGAATTTAAACAATTTCAAAGTTCAATGGTTAAGATCATGAATCAATTGAAGCTAGATCACCATAGAAAACCTGGAAGCACTGGACGGCCGTTTCGTCCTATTGTAGGACTCCTCAGCAGTACACATTCACGACCTCGCCCCCTGAGAGATTGAAACCCAGGACCTACTGGTTTTGCGCGCTTCCAGGTTTTCCACGGTGGTCTAGCTTCAACTGATTCATGATCTTAACCATTGAAATTACTATAATATCCACAAAACCCATCTGATATTAATTTTAAATTTCCCATTCATATTTAAACATTTTTTTACATATTTTAAAAAGTAAATATGAATCACATAAACTAGCTTACTCTTATAACTCTTATAGATATGTTAATGTTTGTGTTACTTAATTGGTAACTATACTAATAACAATTAAATGACGGGTAGTTAGTTAATTAGTTAAAAGTAATGACAACTCACAAATCTATGGTTTATTAATAGTCTGTTTTGATGGAAACATTTATTTAAGAGTCTATTGTCAAGAGAAAAAAACAAACAAACAAAATAACCCCCATGAATAGGATTTCTTATTTTTCTTGAATATATTATTAATAGATGTTATTAATAGTATTGACTATTGTTACCAATGTTATTATTTGTTATAACTTGTCAGTTGAATACTGATTGTCTTGGCTCTTATAATGTTACTTTTTGTATCTGGTCGTCGCTGATTGCTATGTCGGAAACGCTTATCACTTATACTCGGAACGAGGGACTTCTGCAATTCCCACGAAGCGAAAGTAAGAACACAAAGACTGGTATAAGTGATGATTTATTAACCCCAAAACACGACGACTCTGGCAGAAAATACACTCATATATTGATTGTACACACGCTTTGATTAATAATTAGGATGAAATCACATACATAAAAATACTCAGTTATAACAAATCACATATAGAGCACAGTTCATGTCAATGGAATACAAGAATACTGTATATTATACAGAATAAAATATCATGCGACAAAAGAAAACCGAATAATACACAGAATGATCATCCTAATTGAATCAGAACGGAAGTAATGTTTAACAAAACTAATAGTAATAAATCAATCGAAAATTAACTTTTCTTTCCATCATATCATTATTGTTGTCAGTTATGAAACAACTTGAATATATTATAAGAATGAAATTTTTGTGGATTGTAATAATTATTTAAGAGTTCAATTCATGGGTCGATATAAGTTATATCACCATGAAAAACTCGGAAGCACTGGATGCCGTTTCATCCTAGTGTAAGACTTCTCAGTAGTGAGCATCTACAATACCGCTTGCATGATTTGAACTCAAGACCGTCGGTCTTGTACAAACGCCTAACCTATAGACCACTGAGATGGCCGATATCCAGTGGTGTTAATGTCTAACTTCAACCAATCCACAAAATTGTGCAACCGTCCACCATTGTCTTCAGTGAGTAACTGCCTGTACAACAGACACAGTCGAACTCGACTGAAAATAATAGACAGACTGTTCTTTTTTTAGACAATATTGTAATGTATCATCATTCAATGTGTATGCATATATTTACAAATAATTATGTTGTATGCAATGTTAAACCAGTAGATATCCGGCCAATCAATAATCTGAAATTTAAACAATTAAAAATAATTCATAAAGGATGAAATACTCTTCGAAAAGAAGATACATTCATGTAAATGAAAATTCTATAACAGCTTCTTAAACGCAGTGTTATTTGAAGAAAACAACACCGTATCTAAACAAAATTGAAAACCTTAAGTTTCAGTGTTCGACTACTAAAGAGATAGTAATCTAGTACTGATGATTTCTTCCCTGTTTGAATGAGCTAGCTGCTAATGGTATTATATTAATAATGAATTTATAGTCTGAATTGTTTTAGAAGAGCGATGTATATGGAAGTATATATGCATTGTTTCAAGTACAATAATACGATAATATTGTAGTAAGACACTAGCAATGTGTTGAAAATGAGTATAATAAGATCTAGCGAAGTAAAAGTTATAAATGACTATATAATTAAAATAAAATGTTTTTTTATTATTCCTGTTTAAATCCATTATTATGCTAACTAGATTTTCATAATGATAGTCAAGTATGTTCTCTACAACTAGCAATAACTGTAATCTAGTGTGATAATAATAAGTAGTTTAGAATCGAAATTTTATCAATCTACTTTTCTGAATTATTCATTTTAAAGGATATCTCCTTTAGAAACCATAATTACTTTTACCCACATGTACACCTGTAATTTTCATTTCATTTCTTGCAGAAGGAAGAATTATGTCAGTTATTACTTGCATTTTCATTTCCATAAGGTCAGTAGTAATAAAATAACTATACATAATGAAGTTTGTAGAAAACAGAACTCAATTAACTGAAAATCAATGGGAAGATTCAAGTAAACAATACCAAGTGAATTTAAACTTCACCCCATTATACAAGCAAGTGCTTATCAAAAATCAGTAGTTAAGTAGATAACGCGATGACATTTGAAGCGAACGATACTAGATTAAAGTTCCAGAGTGAACATCAACTCTAATATTCAGATACATTCAACTGACGAGTCCCAAATAAGATAAAACACCCGTCCTGGATTCAGTTGCTAACCACTATCCATCATTACTGAACTACACTTTTTCAACTTATTCTGTTCAACTTTAACAACTGATAACATTAAGTTCATGTTCAGTAACACAAGTTATATCTTTTAGATTATTCAGTAAATAATGAAAAATAAACAGTTATTTATTATATGATTATTCATATAAATAGAAAATAATCTCCATTGTTTTTGTTTGTTCACAATATGTTATAAATTTAATTCTTCTGATTAATTTGTTTACTAAGCATTATATTTATTCAATGAAGCATAGAATAACTGAAATTGAACGTAAATTATACTGACAAATCTAAAGTTAAATTTTATATTAATAAAAACAAGAGAGGAAAAAAAAGGTTTCTGCATGTATCATTCAAGCAGAAAATGTATGTTGATTAATTTATAAAATTTATGTTGTATTACTCAATATAAATTATTGATATTTACTTTTCTAATGGATTCAATATTCATTTTCACTTCATAATTGATTGAAATGTTGGGGTTATGTTTTCCAGTTGTTGTTGTTCTTTTTTCAATTGTCTACTATATTATAAAGAATAAAACTATTTAATCGTTTAAATGTCCCCGTCATATTAAAAGTCTACAATTTGAGCGAAGAATATTCTTTTCGATAAATTCTCTTCAGGTTCTACAATTATATATCCAAATTAATAATCCGAAAAAATGGCCAGGTTAAGGGCAAAATACATCGTTTAAAGCATATTCTTCGTTCAAATAATGGTCTTTTAATAAAACTATTTATTTAAGCCAACTTGAAAGAGTAAAATGATTTATATATTTTTTCTTAATGTTAAATAAATAAATCCTAATTCACAAGTTCACTTTTTTTTATAATTTGTTTCTAAAAGTAAAAAAAGACAATTCTATTTACACTTACTTATCATTGATCAATACTACTTACTGACTTACTTGCTTACTTACAGTTGTTACCCCTCGTAGAAGAGCATAGACCGCCCACCAGCACTCTTTATTCAACCTTATCTAGGGCAATTCTTTCCTGTTCTTTCTAGTTGCTATTCATCTTTTTTCATGTCTACTTCCTATTCCCAACGTAGTGTGTTCTACGGTTGTTAATATTATCTGACTACTATAAGAAAAAACTTCATTGAAATGATGATTATAAAAATTCTTTTGACAACTTATTACAAAACATAATAGGTCAAATTTATTTTTATTTCCCAACGAAAATTACAAAATGCGTTACTTAACATTATATTAGGAAACAATTTCAATGAGTTCTTTAAACCATGATTCCTTTCATGTTACCTTAAACTGAATAAACTAATTTGTCTCTAAATAATGTAAAAGTTTATTTGTTCAATTAATATCATATCTCATATATTTGCAGTGAACAAGAACACCCGTGGGGACAACCGAATTACAGAGTTACTTGGCAAACTAGAAAAACCATACTGTAATACTTAATTTGCAAACTGTTCAATAATTGTCTC